GCTTAATCTTCTGCCATCATCCGCAATACGTTGAGTGCTACTTAATCTATCGTAAACAATGCTATAGCATAAAAGCTCATCTTGCTTCTTAACACACGTTAGAGTAGCTTTCTATTCTGTTCATGATTATCGTGAGGTCCTTTACTTCTCTAGATTTATGCAAAAGAGTGCATATTGGATTTATAACTATAATTAGCATTAAAAGAATCTATTGCTGTTTGTAAATTACTATGATACAGTTTATATTTGAATGAGTATGAGCATTTTTTGGCATATTCGAACGTATCACGATGACGTTTTGACCACAGTATTGTCAAACTTTCTCATAAGTTAGGTTATTTCGGCAAGTCGGTCATGTGTTACATGATGTATCCCTGTCTTCTCCAAAACATCTGAAAATATGAGCTCGTTTGAATGAGCTGTTTTATATTTATCGCAAAAATATATAACACAACATGAACACGAGAAAAAGGACAAAAAAAATTGAGGTTATTACATTTATTCTTTATTTTTCTGTAAATAAGTGGTACATTATAATAGAAACGCTTCATACACGTTTCGCAGCCAACAGTTTAAGATATCCAACGGAAAAAAACTTCAAGTAGGCGTCTTATTTTGATGAGTGATCGGCTTAATCAAAGAACCGCAACGATGCTCTTGTAACAAGATGAAACTAACTTTTTTAATCATTTTCTTCTATACTTACTTTTTCTGCATGTATGACTGTGTAAAGACAAAGTAAAATTATTTTCCTTAATAATCACAGTAAGAGATATTAAATGTTGTTTTTAATTATAATCTCAGAAAAGAATCATTAGAAAAAACAACAGATTGATTAATAAATACAATTGTGTGTGTGTCAACGATGGCGTATAATGCACGGTCGATTGTTACATTTTCTTTCTCTACCTCACTGGAACGCTTTATTCAAAACTAAATACATCACAGAATGAAGTAAAGCGAACTCTACATTCTAATATTAATATAGTGACCTCATATAAAACAACGCTACAGTGTTACTTTACCAATTAAAGAACCATACATTTTTACCTGATTTAATTGCATACTTCTATTAATATCGTCTTAACTGACATAGCTAACAGTATTAAAATTAAGAATGCTTAGCAAACATCATCAGTTATCGAGAAAATACATAAAATTTCCTATGCATTACGTCATGTTTTGAAAACTTTACCCCATATCTTATTTCTCGATTTTTATCTACTACAGCTTAATCATCCTTGTACCCAAGTAAATTCTGAAGAATTCACACTTCTTCCAGTAAAGAATAAATATTGCAGCACGATCTACAAATTAACAATTGATGGATAATAAGCTCATCTACTATCATAAAAGCGTCCCGTCATACACACAAAATAAGTCTCTAGTAGAGTGTAAAGAAAACTTAGTATACTTTACTGATGGTTCATTGCATTCTCTAAATAGTCTTAATCCCAGTATTATAAGTATTTGTAGGTAAGAGGACATTAGAAAAATTATACAATTAAGTATGATTAATATGACGGCACTTAATCTGACACAGTAAAAAACTGTCACCTACGTACCGAAAACTAATTTTTTTGTAGAGTCAAAAATATTTCATTCAAGTTTTGTTTAGTCTCAAAACACAGACATGTATATGAAATAACATTTGTGATGCTAAAATGTGCAGCTCGCTTCGCTTTTTTATGTAAGATATTTAGTATTCAAAAGAATGTTTCAAAAACCCATAGAGAGCAAATGCAAAAGTCGGCCGTTCATTGTGTACCATCCGTTGGTGTTTTATTAACGAAACGCCATCAACTTAGACCAAACAGCTACTTAGGGCATACCAAAAGTAGGGATGTTAACACTTTAATACCCTATAATAAACTTTAAGAAATTTCTCTCTATATAGTCTGATAGAGAAAAAAAATTCTCTATTCTTCTATGCTATTTCATCATACTTCGACTAATATCATAATAATAACATTTCAATAAGATCTGTTTTTCTATCATATATGACGGTTATACTAATTCGAGTGTATATTTTTTGGATAAATTTTGATAGAAACAAGATAAAGAGCTGCGATTTTCATCGTTGGAAAGCAAAGATGAAGCCGCATCGAGTTGCATATGATATATTTTCCTAGACGTTACCTGAAATTTCTTCAATCAATTTTCTAAGTATGCAAAAAATGGCGTTTTATTTCTTCACAGAAATTGCTAGGAAAATCACTTATAGCTTCGACCAGAACATCTATAACTCCTGAATGATGAATTCAAAATATCTGAAACTTCTTCAGTATTGTAGGTCTTTTATCGGCAGTTTCTATGTACATCTGACAATTGAAAAGTCGTTGTAAACACCTAATGAAATAGGTTTGCTTTCAAAGAAGTCGATTGAAAACCATTAAAAAGTCATGTCCAGAAATCAATAATAAAACTCGATGCATCTTCATTTACTTTTTCGAACGGTGAAAACCGTAGCTCTCTATCTTATTTTTATCAAAATTTATTCAAAAAATATTCACTGAATAGGCCATTAGTATAACCGTCACATATGACAGAAAAACAGATCTTATTGAAATTTTATTATTATTATGATAATAGTTGAAGTATGATGAAATAGCAAAGAAAAATAGAGAACATTTTTCTCTATCAGACTACATAAAGGGAAATGGTTTGAAGCTCATTATACTGTTTTAAAGTGTCAACACCATTACTTTTGGTATGCCCTAACTATATCCTAATGATAAATCGTTAGTTTTTAATATCAAAATACATTACTTGTAGTCTACAGTGATCTTTGAAAAACAAATCACTGCTTGAAAGTTTTCTTTTGCAAATATTAAAAAATGTAATATACTCTGTGACACGTTCAGACGTGTATCATGCTATAACAATTCCTGTATGCACGCACATTTGATAAACTTTCGCATTTGACTAGGCAGTTAAGATAAGCTTTACTAATATCAGTACTGGTAGAGACGGTCAGACTAAACAGAACCTACCGGTCTACTGGTATGAAGTCACTCTTTCTTTTTCTTGCCTTATAAAGGTCATATCAAGTCTCTACCTTGGTCATATCTGCACCCTGATCACTACAGAAAGTGGATATGAGTCGGATTGTGTGAGGGTAGGAGTGTGGGATGTGAGTTTACGTGAACCTGAGTTTGGAGTATGAGTATGGGTATGATCCAAGCAGACAAACATTTTCAAAAACGCGTTTAAGCGCATGAAAACGTGTCTTGAAAATATAAAAAGTGGACTCTTTTTGCTCACAATCGCGGTTTCCGGCTATGAGCAAAAAAACGTTCATTTTTTGTCCGTTTTGTGCGTTTACACGCGTTTTCAGTCAAAACACGATTGTAAAAGCGTATAAACGCATAATAAGAACATGAAAAGTAGTCGTCTTTTTGCTTTTTCGTGAACTGTTATTGCAATCATGATTGTGATTCACGAGTACGAAAAAGACGTCTACTTTTCATGCTCTTTTTATGCGTGTATACGCTTTTACAATCGTGTCTTCACTGAAAACGGTGTGTGGGTGTGGGTGTGGGTGTGAGTGGGGTGTGGGTGTAAGTGCAGAGAGGTGTCACACCCACATCACCCACCCGCAACCACACCCGCACCCACACCCACACACCCACACCCACACACCCACACCCACACCACACCCACACACCCACACACCCACACTCAACCCACACCCACACCCACAACCACACCCATACTCATACCCACACCCTAGCCACACACCCACACCCGCTGTTTCCAAGAGCAGAATGTTCATGAGCGAAGGAAGACTAGACGGCTGTCAGAAAGAATTTCGTACCCACTGTATTTTATAGTGAACCCCGGGGGGAAAAACAACTTCACACATAGCAACATGTTAATTATACAATGTACTCAACAACTACATTTTCACCTTGTATGTGAATGTAAATGGATGAAGAATGTGAAAGAAATGACGGCACAACTCAAAACTAGTTTGTAAACTGGTATTTTTTTGTGTGGCAATAAAATCTAGAATTCGAATACCGTAGTGTTCATTTTCTTCGTTGCCATGCTTTGCTTTATGTTTCGTTTGCTTTTCGATGCACTATCATTGGTAGCAGAAATTTCTATATATTTCCCAATGTTTTCTTGGAGAATAAAATGAATTATTATTTTGATTGATTCGATCGATGGATTTCTGGTGCAAAAAACAACTTTTGAAATTCATCAAATGTAACCAAAACTGAATAAGAATTGCTGCTAACGATGCAGTAACAATCTTTGTTTTTCGTTTTTATTATGCTTTTTTCTTCCATGTTTTCGTTTGTGAGTGCTGTACATCAAATATGTATTGACATATGTCAGGTTTTAATCTTGAAAATTTTTTATCGTTTAAAAGAATTATACTCTACTAATTGATTCAATTCAAACTCGATAGTGTTTTGCCAGTTTAAGTTGATGAAGAATCCTAGCTGCTAGTAAATATAACTAAATGATGGTAGAGATGAGGTTTCTTTAGTAACTAATAGAATCGTACCGTCATCACAAAGTCACTTGTAAAAAGAGAACAATGCATAAGAGTTTAAGAACAAGCAGACAGTGAGTAATAGTTGTTTTGTGTTATTTTTCTAACTCAAAAACAATAGTTACACACATATCACTGTTAGTATTTTTTTCTAGGCTCAATCTAGCATCACTTCATGTCGATTATCATTCAAATTCCACTCCAATGCATTCCAATACTTGCTTTGTTCGCTGTTTCTTGGATGGCATCAATAAAAATCATATATCGTAATGACCAATGCCTTTCTTTCAATAGCAATACTTCATCTTACCTCCGCAACAACAAATTATTCTCGCCGATGACGAGTATCTATTCTCGTTTGAAGCTAAATCATTTCACTGTAGCCGGAACACATAACAGTTACCATAAGCGAAATCTTTTCTATAAATATCAGCACTCAGATCTGGAATCTCAGCTAGATGCGGGGATTCGACAACTCGAATTGGATATTCATTTAATGGAGAGCGAAAATGTTATTTATCATTTGCAATTGATTGATGATAAAACGAATTGTTATTGTTTAAGTGAATGTCTCCAACGAATTCGTCGATGGAGTGATACGAATCCACAGCATTATCCAATACTTTTGTTTTTAGAAATCAAGCAAAAATTTTATGAAGATCTTTTTACACCTCTTACTGGTGGTGTGCAATGTCGACATTTACAGGCCATTAAAAGTCAACTATTGGAAGTATTTTCGATTGATTCTTTCATTAGACCAGAACAGATACGAGGTAATCATTCATCGATTCGTTCGGCCTTAAAACAACAGAGACAAAATGAACTAAATGGCAACTACACCTATGATAATTACGGTTGGCCACCATTGAGCCAATCGCTGGCAAAAATCTTACCTGTATTTCTCGATAATGCCTATGGCAGTGCAGCAGACTTATTTAACACATGTGAGCCATTAAAGAATTTTCTCTTCATTGCTCAAGAATCTCTAGATCGTCCGTATGCATCCATTATTTGCACATCGAATCCGTTCACAGAAGAGCAAAAGCTAATTGAAAGTGCAGCGAGTGGCCTACTCACCCGAATTTTACTTGGTTATGGTGACCAAAAACTTTTCGAGAAATATACAGAATCTCAAAAATATGGTATCAATATCATCAGTACAGGTTCAGTTCAATGTGATGACACTCCATTATGTCAAAGTATTGCTGAGAACTTTCCTGCGTCTGCTCCCATAAAATGCAACAAAATAAGGGCACCTGACTTTTGTAATCGAGCTGCGTTACGTCTAAGATAATAGTTGTGTTATATCACATGAATTTTATGATGTTTTTCACTGTTCAATTAATCGAAATTTTTTTAGCATAAGGGTTATCAGAAGATTCTACTCTTTGACTGTTTTTCATAATAGTAAATACAACGTATCGTTCATTTCCTCATAGTAGTCATCTCTTTTTGCTAATGAAAAGAGAATCAGATCAATCAATAGTTCAACAACCTAGAAGAAGATAAATTTTTCATTCAACCTTCGAACATAAGCACCGCACGCAGCATCTAGCCTTGATCTTTATCAAGCAATCATTTACTTGCAACTTAATGGTAGAGAGAAGGATGTGAAGAACATACATATAATGTACAACTCACTATATGTTGCGTGAAAACAATCATATTTTCTACACTGATTTCAGATTGACAATTTCAAGATGAAGTTTTATTTTTCACAGCAAATACGTTTTGACGGCTCACTGTCACCTTAACAATTGTTAATAACACGTGTCGCTCAGAGCACATCTCAAAACTATTCAATGGCGAAGCTTTCTAATGAAAGCAGACAAATATAATTTGAATTTTGAATTTTTTGTGAGAATCAACACTTGATGTAGTAACATGAAAAGGCAAAGAAAGAATTCATGTTGCTTGCCCAGAAAAAACAAGTCGTACAGCATAACAAAAATGCATTTACTGTGCTCTCTCTAAAACTCATTCTAATGGCACTTGAAAGTAGTAACTGTTGAATAATGACATTTGCCGTCACAAATGAATAGAACAGAAGAACTACTCTGAATAGTTTAAAGATGCTACGCAAAATAAAGATCATAGGCTGTGGAGCCGTTAGGCCTGGGGAGGCTTTGGGAGGCTCAGATATCTGGAAAATTTTACAGATCTTATCCTGAAATTATATTTAGTAAGCGAAAACTATTTGAACAAGCTTATGTTCAGCCAGATGTTTGATAGCACCATAGGTGGTGGAGCCATTCGGGTTGAGGAGGCTCAAGTTTCGCATGGAAATTGAACAGAAATGTTTGGAAAGACTTGATATTTGAGAAAATTTGACGAATCTCATTCTGAATTTGCATCGAATGTCTCAAAAATGTTATTACCATAGTTTATTTTGTATATATCTTTCCATACACAAATGGTAGAATCTTGAGATTTTCCCCAAAAGGTGCGTTTCGATGATTTCTACAATAGCAATCAAAATATTCTGTTGAATTATTCTGATGAATTGCAGAAAGCTGAAAGAAAAAATGTATAAAGTGTATCTACTTCCGATTATACTGAATTTAACAAATATATTTGAAATAATAGTCATGCTTCATTTATTTTTGCGTAGAAAAATGATAAAAACTTGAATTGCTTTCAAAGATGTTTTATTAAACTCTCCACATATTCAGAAAACAGGATTTTGACATATTGTAATCGATTTAGAGAGAAAAAATATAAAGTTGTACGATACACTGTAATTTTTCATCGTAACAGTAGACTGAAAGTTCCGGATATAGCATAATGATTATTAAAATCAAGGTTAATGTACAAAAATGTATTATTGAATGGAATGATATTACCAAAGTAGATTGTTCACTTTTCGAAAATCGCCTTAAAGAATTAAAATTGCACAATTAGGTGACTCGTCGTTAAAATAGAGGAGCGAATTCGATTCAGAAAAGTGAAAAATTATAGTATCTTGTACGTCGTTAGTTTTAGCCCTCTCAAAATCGATTAAGATCAATCAAAAGAACGTTTTGCTTCTTTAAAAAAGTTTCAAGTTTTGCAGAATTTTTTTCAAAGATAAATAAGAAATAGATATATTATAAATATTTTTATTACTTTCAATATAACAGGTATCAGCAATATTTGATACATCTTTTCTATCACTTTTCTAAGAACTCGTCAGAGCAATTCAACAGGTCCTTATAATGCAGTTGCCTTAGAGAACCCCAACAACAACTTCTAGAACTCATTCTTTCGACATTTTTCTGTAAATCTCGGTGCTCATTTCGTCGTCAAATAAAAGAAATTATGACATAGGCAGATGCTTGGCTGAAGGTCAGGGTGGACAAGACTTCGGATGAAGACCAGTTGAGGGCGAGAATTCACTCTTCAAAACTATGGCTTTCGTTTTAGTATATCAAATTGTGTTCTGGGCTGTCAAACAGAGAAATTCTGTAATTTAAATGAATTCAATAAGTCCCAAAAAACTAAATCATAGACGATTCGCAAATTCAATGACGCATCTTTCAAAAGAGTTTCAAGATTATATAATTTGCCTGTACTGAGATACATGCAAAATAAACCCTGTTGAAAACATATCGAGACAACAGGTATCTCTTTAATAAGAGTTAGAGTTCGAAAGCTATAAAACCCTCCTCCTCCGCTTTTTAAATCCTTCTCTCATCACTCCTTGGAAGTTTTGAGTCTCCCCCATATTAGAATCTTTCCATCGTCTATGATAAGGATGTTTCAATATTCTCTTACACAGTTATTTTTCATCAGACGATGACAATCGTGAGTCGACTAGTAACCCAAGTCGATGATTCCAGCCAACGGATCCTGTCGGAAATATGTTCGAACAATGAAAGCAATATTCTGACCGGAAAGTAACCATACCGGGAATCATCCTATTCCTAAACTTTCCCATCATCGAAAATCTAAAGAAAATTACCCATATCCTGCTGAAAAATTGTTGGAACGTCTACGTATCCACCAGAAAACGCCCGAAAACCACACATATCAGTTAAACAACTAACCTCGAGTGAAGGGCATGTTAGAAATTTTTCAGACGGCTTCCTTTTCTAGCAATTTAAATTGATTCCGTAGATACTCAATCGAACCAAGGATTGTTCTTGGGTTTCTCAAGCATTTTTCGGACTATTTTCGTTAAATAGAATTTGAAATCGGTTTAATCGAAGCGTAATTGAGTAAAGGATTTCTCAAGTATTCTTTAGACTACTTTCGTGTGTTGGTTTTCCCTTCGATATTCAGCAAATTGAATCGAGTAAAGCATTTATGTAGAGTTTTTCATGGATTTTTTTAGACTTCCTCATTTCATCGAGTTCCAAATCGACATACTTTATGGTGAATCGGTTAAATGTGGCGGTGCAGCAAATTAAAACCCTGCGAAATTGGAACTTTAGATTTGATTGAATTTTGATCAGAGTTTGGCAGAATTTGATCTTGATGTGGCTAGTAAATCCCCATTAAGGGAACTCAGAATTGGAGAGCCCGAATCAATTCTTAGTTTCCCGAAATCTTTGTACTCGATATTTTCGCAAAATCAATTGTTTTTGACGAAAATAACGATTTTCTTCAATGTTTGTCGAAAGGTGGTCCCGTTCGGAGAATCCGAGTTTCGTATCAGCTCCTCACAGTTATTCTTTGGGTTTCTTGATGAAACTTCTCTTCAGCAGTTTTTCATAGTGTGAGAAATCATGGATAAATTTTTGAGAAGTTGATAGTAGATTCGAATTTCTCGACCCGGGGTACCTTGCTCCAAACTCTATAAGAAAAGCGTTATTTTCTTCAAAAACCCTATTTTAGTGAAAAAATTTTGGTACAAACTTTCGATGAACTAACAACGGATTCGGATTGCTCGACCCTGATTACCTTTGGTAGAAATTCACTAGCCAAACACAAGTCAAATTCAATAAAATTCAAGTCAAACCTAGTCGAATGCAATTGGATTTCGTGGACACCTAGCTAAATGGTATTCTGAGAATTTTATTGAAAATTATAAGCCGTCAGGGGATAATATTCTCTCCTTGGTGGCGTCTTTCAAGTCTTTATTGCGGGGTTTTTTTGGGAACGACCTTATCTAAGCTAAATCATTTTTTTCTTATTGGATTAAAAAGCGATTTGAAGTCTCACATCCCAAGTTTTTACCTGTTCAGGTGTAGTCTTGCACTTTAAAGGGCGATTATGAACCGTAGTTACTCAATAACTTAAATATGAGCTGACATCGATATCTTCAGGGCTTTAAGAGATTTCTAATCCAACTTGTACTTGTGTTGTGACGCAAATGAACTGATTTACTTAGAGATAGTTATATATATAGAGTTGAGTTCGTCCATAAGCGAATAGTCCACCTGAAGTGTCTGACTTGTAGACTCATCGATTTTTTAGGACTTACAAAAGTGTGGTGATTTTTCACAGACTGTTATGTCTGTTTTGTAAAAAGACTCTTCATAGCGAAAGCTGATCTATTTAGACATGGTTCGTACGTTTTGATAATGCACACTTGTGCTAGGTGTGCTTAGGCAGAAACAGATATTCTGATGGAAATTTGCTGATGATTTTAAAGACATTTTTTGGATGCTGCTACGAGAAGTTGTTTAAGTTTCTCTTCACTTTGACGAAGCTATTGCTTTAGATTATTTTTAGCATTAGCAGAAGAGGTTATTAATACAAACTGAATCAAATGATGATAAATATTTGCGTAGATATATATATATCAACGGAAACGTCTAAATTCAGTTCATTTGAAACATTTTCAAGAAGTTTTGAATCCAATTGTGATATATATTTTTATGGTGCGTCGCTTGTCTGTTTATGATTGGTTTGATTGTTCTATCATACAATTACTCATTCTGAAAAATAATTTATTGTACTTATTGATTTTGGCGGTCAAGAAAATAGCGTCTTATTTATTATGAATCTCAGCCAACATAGTCAGCGTTTCTTAGGGTGTCGCATGTGGGTGTGGTGTGTGGCTGTGGCTGGGAGTGTGGAAGTGAGTCTTCTGTTCAATCATACCCACATTAACACCCACATTACGCTAAAATCATAGCTTTTCCCCTTATTTCTACGTGTGATATTTTTACACTAGTGAAGTGCAAAAACATTTTAGGAAATGAATCTCTAATTTCAACAAGAACTGCGGCTTTGTCAGTTGAAAGCTGTAATGTCATTATGTGGTGAAAAGAACAGAGTGTGGATCACATTCTGATGTCGTATTCGGTTGCCGGACCTGAGCGCTTCAGCTGACTTGAAAACGGTCGAATCCGTGATCGTCACCGAAGC